TCACTTGTTGACATGAGTATAGTGGTGCCATTTAAGGAAATAAGGAAGAACAGGTTCGAAAGTGAACACAAGGAAATCAGCTCTGGACATGGTGAGTGTGTGGTGCAGTTGAATCATGCAAGTGGAGATAAGTCTATACGATGTGGGCATTTGTAAATGTTGGGATGAAGCCTAATAAGTTTAGTTAAAAAAATGGTATTTTCAGAATTCCCTAATCCCACAATCGTAACATCAATTTTCTTAATTTTAAATTGTGCTTCTTTTATCTGTATCCATCTTACAAATGTAATCTTGAAGTACAAACCAGTTAATTATCTTGTTTTTTCACTTGCCAATGAAAATATTTCCCCACATTGTTTTACAATTACTACAGTTCTGGTCAATATATCATATATAATAATGGGTTAAAATTTTTAATACTATCTTTTAACCAATTTATTTGCTGTCCTCCTAAGATTTTGGTTAGAGGGTCATTGCCCCTTAAAAAGTTTGATTCCACAGTCCTAAATTTTAAAAACTCTATCTAAATTACTGAATTCTTAATAATATGTACCAGGTATTGGACTAAATTCTTTATAGGTGTTATCTCATTCAGTTCCTAGTTAACAATCCTGAGGTAGGTTCTATTATTAGCTCCATTCTGTGGATAAAAGAAACTGGGTCTGAGAAATCAAGGTACTTTCCCAATACATCAAGGAGTAGCAGAACTGGGTTTGAATCTGGGTCAGCCTGACCTTGGAGTTTCACTATGCTATTTTGCAAATATATATGACTGGAGGAGGGATATACACCCAATTTAATAGTGGTTACCTACAGTGACAGGATTACAGATGATTTGAATTTCTGTTTTCTGGATTATCTACAATAATATGTATTTTATAATGAGAAAAGTAGTTATTAAAATTGTCTTTTCAAGTTTATTCTCTATCAAACCATATGTTAATAAGGTAACATGGAAAAGTGTTAGGGGTGTTAGTATGGGTAAGAATGAAAACAATTTTCAATTTCTGTAATATATGTATATCAATTTTTATTTAGCTTAAAAAATTTAATTCATAAAGGACATTTTATAACATCTATGGAACCATTAAATACTTTAATATTCATTTTCTAATATTCATTTTAATAAACACATAACTATGAAAATTTTAATAAACCTGTCTGTACTATGTAAAATTATACTGCATACCACACAAACAACATTTTAGAAAATATGAATTAAAATCTAAGATGGGAAGAGAGGATAAGCAGATAATTATAAGATAATTTTAAATATGTTAATATATGGAGGAAAAGCAGTGAGCAAGGACAGCTGATAGAGCAAGTCCCCAGTTAACTGGGCTTATAGGCACAAATAAAGAGTGTTAGCTTTGGGAAAAAATAAACTTTTCTGAGATGGAAGGTAAGGAAGAAAAGATGAGTGAAGACAGAAAAACTGTAAAGTGGAGAATAAATTAGATGAATAGAACTGACTTTATTAGTTACTTTAAATCAAATGGGAAAAACATACACTCTTATGTACAGAGTGGGACAAAAGTAGGTTTACAGCTGTTCGTATGTAAATTATTATAATAATAACACAAGAATAAACTCTGTTTTGCATACTCACAACTGTAAACCTACTTTTGTCCCACCCTATATAAAGGATGTAAACCAATTTATATGAAAATCCATTTGGGGGGACTTTAAAAATAAAGATAAGTTATTGAATATTGGGCATGACTAGTCAATTGTCTCACAGCTACCTTGCTTGGCAAGTTTCCCTGGTCATCTGTAGCAGCTCTGTTAATTGTTCTAGGACCAGTTATAGGAAGTTTAATAGAACCAATACGGGTATCCTACAATAACTTCTAATTTCTAGATTTTTCTTGAAGGTGGTTCCTTGGGTAGCAAAAACTTCCCAGTACACCGCTGCAAGAGACACAGGCTATTTTATTTATGACAAAATATTGGTGTAGTTACATTTAAACAAATTGGCTTGATGAACATCTGGCTTTACTTAAAAGGTTATTTACTTTATGAAACAATCTGCCACGAGACTTCTTTAAATAGCAAGATCCTCCAGTAAAGGCATTAATTCATTTGCAGTTAAATATTTGCCTGAAGCTAAATGCACATGTTTTGCTCTGAGCCTCTGCACCTTCTCCTTCCTTCCCATTAACTAACTTTCACTCATTTTCCCCCTACTCTAAGTTTCAAAGTTACTAGGCAAGGTCTTCTGTTCTTCTTTATAGCACTTATCACAACTGTAATTAATTTTTAAAGTAATTCATTTAATGTCGTCTCCCCCGACAAACTGAAAGCTTCAAGAAGCGTAGAGGCTACATGTAGAGTGTTTAGTGCAATACAAGCACCCAGCAGCCTATTTTGGCCTATAGGAAGAGTTCAATAAATATCTATGACACCTACTTGAGATCTGTTATTAAAAGGATACAATCTTGGTAAGACACAAGAAACCTTTGCACATACATCTGCAGCTAAATTCCAGGAAGCACTATAGCTTTCTACTCACAGATCAGAGGATCATTCTTCATAGATTCCTGTAACTGGCTTATAAGGAAACAGGGATAGGAAGAAATTGAAACTATTCAGCAGAAACCTTTATATTACTGCATCTCTACATTTCCATCACCTACATCCCCTTTTCCAATGTGAAGAGGTAAGTGGGGCAAAAAAAAAGGTAACAAGTGAAGTATAAACTCCTTATCACCTTCTAAAGAAGAGTTGCTGTATCTGCCAGCATACAAAATGGAGATTTGGAATGCTGCTTGCCATTAGCAATCCAATTTTTTTTAACATTCAGCATTACAGGGAATAAGACCATGGAAGTATAGAAAGAGTAATCAAAATGTGCTGTTTTAAGGATAGTTACACACAAAGAAAATTTTAAGAGGGAACAACTAATGAAGCAATTTTAAGACTGAGCACTTTTTTATCTTAAAACAGTGCAGGGAGAGGGAGGAGGAAAATGCGACAGAGAAGTGCAAGATAGAGGGAAAGGCATGCTCATATTCGCTTATAAATAATGCATGCTGAGAAGAGTACAATACCAAAATCGAGAGGACAATCAGTGGGTAATCAAAATGGGGAAATGAGGGTCTACTGTCTGTTTGACACTGCCACAGTGAAGGCAGGAAGGAGAAAGGAGGAAGGGCACAAAGACGCCTCTCGCAGCAGTATCCATGAAGTGGAAAGTGGTCTGAATGCAAGGAAAGCAGAAGGTACACTAGGCAACGTTCTGATGGTGGGTGAAAAACCCCAGTAGCACAGAAAGGCAGGGCTAAAAGGTGGAAATACAGGCCAGTAGGGTGAAGATATAAGCCTCCAGCAGTGCATACAGGAAGTTGTAATAACTGACTGGAGCAGATCATTTTGGTCATTACTTTTAAGTGATTTCTGTCTCTTTGCACCAATCTTCCTAGTATTTTTTAAAAAGCTATCTTTGCATTTGTGTGGATTAATTTTTTCACATTTGCACTACCATATGTATTTAATATCACTAGGAGAGACTCAGTATCACTCCTCAATTTGTTGCACTGCTAAATGTTGGCTTAGTGAGGGTAGCAGAACAGGTTTACTGGCCCCAAATTCTCTTCCTCCTTCTCAAATGAGGAATTTAGGTCTGCTAAGGTACAAAGTTCTCTCTAGAGCCCAGTCCTTCTGTAAGCCATAGGCCTGATCGTAAAGGTTATTTTCCCTTCTGCTGTGACATTTCCATTTCATTTGTTCTCGTTTTGACTTTGCTTTATATATTAGGATTCCTGGTAAGAAGTCATAGGGAGGAACTGTTCCACTCCTTTATGGAGTCAATACTTACTGCAAGGTACATTTCAAAGCACTTTCGCAGACCCTAAAACGGGCGTTTAAGAGTCAACCGGATAAACCTTCTTAGCCAACATTCATGTATTTCCATGTGCTGGTGGTCTATTTCTAAGATGATCAAATCAGGCACAGTCCAAAACTGGTAGAGTGGTCTGTGGACTGGCACACGTGTTACGGTTTTAAGAGCGGTAGGACTGACAGGTGAAGCACAAAGTGTGCAAACACTGAGGAAAAAGCTTTTTCTCTTACAGAAGCCGAAAGACTCAACAGCACATTTCCTAACGGGAAGGGTTCCTTTTCGAGGGAGAGGCCTCCAGGTCCTTCATTCTCATAAGCCAAGTCTGATCCCAGCTTTGGGTGAATCTTCTGTACCCTGCTCTCAGTAGAGGGGTCCTATAACCAAGTATATTAAGGGCCGCTTCTTCCCCGCTTCAGGATAATAACGGGCTCCCCAGAATGCAGGCGTGGGAGTTGTGGGGACGGCGACAGACACACAGAAAAAAAGGGCAGAATCCGCGCCGTCCAGCGGCCCCGGGGCCTGTCAGCAATTCACCTACCCACCCATCTCCATTCTTCAGAACTTACCAGGTGGGAGCTACGGCCCTGGGCAGGGAGTAAGTAAGTGGGATGGGTCGAGTCGAGTTCCGCTGCGCTTCTTAGCGACGCTGCGGAGAAGAGGCTGAAAACCAGTAGCCGCCGCTGCCTTCGCCACCACCTCTGTTACTGGGTGGTCTCGCCTCCATCGCTGGCTGCGAGAACTCTGAGGGCACGTGACCGGAAGTACCAAGGCGGGCCTCCGGAGCACGTGACTCCTGAGCACGGCCGCCATGACACCTTCCGCTTGTTCCCTCCCTTCCCCGCCGGTTCCCGCCTGTTTCATTTTCTCTCGCCGGCTTTAAGCGGTGAAGGGTCCCGGGATCCTGGCTGGCTCACCCCTTTGGCTTAGAGCTTCTCCGGTCCCGGCCGGTGCTTTGTCTTCGACCGGCAGCTGCCCGCTGACTGCAGGCCGCAGAGAGCGTAATTGCGACGGCGGCCTGAGGGGGAGGGACCACGCGCAAGCAGGGGCGTAAGCCGTCACGTGATAAGGAAGTACCGTTAACAGCTTTGTCCCGGCGTTCTGGGCGCTCCAGGATGACGTAAGCCAGGGAAGGGAGGAACTAATGGAGACACAGGCTCCGGTGAGGCTGTAAGTGCTCGGTGAGTGCCGCGGCGCGTAGCCAGGAGAGGCGTTGCGAACCTCTGAAAGTTGGGGGCTACCGGCATGGAGATGGTGGAGCGAGGCTGAGGCTTGGATTTGGAAGTTGGTTACTGAGCCTCCTCTCCTTAAGACATGAATACAGAATTAAAGTTTAGCTGTTAAAGTTAGTAGTTCCGCTAGGCGGGGAGATTTTCTTGCAGGCACGGACTGTCTCCCCCAGTGCGTGCAAAACCTATTGAATGCATCAGTGAGTCGGTCGCCATTTCTGCCTGAGGTGGAGAGTTCTGATTATTACTTTTTAGGAAGAAATATCCAATCTCCTACTTTCCCTCCACGTTAACTTGAACTTTTGCCTCCTTCTCTTTTGCCTCGTCTTCCTTCCATGTGAAAAGAGAATGCTGTGATTTGCATTTGGTGTGAGCAGCAAACACGGTCCATTAGTAAAGTGATTACAGTATACTAGTGTTACCGGGGAGTGTTCTAGAGGGAAAGATTGCAATCAAGAGACAAAGTAGAAAAGAAAGCATGAGTTTATTGGCTGTAGCAAAAATATACTTAGGACAGTGAAACAACAAGGTGCATAGAGGAAGCAACACAAGTGCCTAGGCTGGGCTGCTTTGGCTCACTGGGAAGTCAGAGAAGGGAGCCTGGGAAACAGGTTTGGGGCCTTTGGAGACAGGTTGGGCTGGGGAGCCCAGGAGAGCTGCCCTGGTTGCAGGTCTCCGTGGGGTCCACTTGGAGGGGAGAAGGAAATGGCGCTGGGCGCCTGCTGGGACTTTCGCTTTCCCGGGTTTTAAAGGCTGGGCGGTTGGGGGAGAATCAATAGAATATTCATCAGTTCTATGCTGATGTACCACAATGAGGTTTATTCTCTTTACTTCATTTGTCCTTGGGTGTGGTTGGCAAATGGCACTAATTGGATTTCTGTTATCTGTCTCCTTGAGTAGGGTGATTTAAGCCATCTACCCTCTGGCTGGGGAGGAGAAATGCAAACCATTTACCCTTAAGTGTGCGTCACTTAGCGAATATAGGATTTACTAGATGGCTGCAAACTGCTGTTTAACAATCTGTCTCATCCCTATTCCTCTTGTCGTGGAATTTTCTTATGCTACGACACTGGGGCAATAAGGAAACTTTTTCTTGATCCTACTACTCTGTTGTTACCGCCAAGTAATGAGGGGAAATGGAAAGATGATTAGATTTTGGACTCAGGAGAAGTGGATTCTAGTGTCAGCTCTACCTTTTAATACCTCTGTGACTTTGGGCAAGCAAACCCCTCAAGAATTTTTTTCACTGACTTTGGTAAGCATTTATGACCACCTTCTGTTTGCTTAGGTTTTTGGGGTTTTTTTTTTTTGCTAGGCTGGAGGTGCGACAGACTTAACAGAAACGATATTTAAACACGTTTGCAGGAAGATAGGGTTTTGTTAGATGGAGGGAGATTCAAGAAGCAGCATATATTAAAATCATGGAGGCACAGAAAGTTTATAGAGTGAACTAAGAGCAGCAAAAGATAGTTCCATATAATTGGAGAATAGAAGAGGTAAGGTGGAAGATGAAGCTGGAGAAATAAGGATGAGATCATAGATTATGTAAGAAGGGTAGCTGTCGAGGGTTTATTATAGTTTTTTTAGTACATATTGAAAAACTTGTTATGGAAAATTTCAAACAAAAGAAATAGGATAATTTAATGAACCCTCATGTACACATAACCCAACTTTAACAATTATCAGCATTCTACTGTTCTTGTTTGTACAGAGCTTTTAAATATCTAGTACTTTTTATATCCATTGTCATATTTGATTAATAACAGCTTTCAATTTGAGCTTAATTCTGTTGTATCTAGGTAGTGTCCGTTTTATGTGAAAATTTCTTTGTGTTGTAGTTGACCACTTGCTCTATTGAATCAAAGTATAATGTGATGATTTTAAAAACACATGATTCTATTCTAGGTAGTAATATAGAAACTTGGTGTTCAGATCAAGTAGGTTAGTGTTTCTACTTTATTCTGTGTTATCCAACTGCTTAAGGAATATTATGCTCAGTTGTAGGCAACACATTTTTAAGGTGAACTAAAGTGCCTGTGTAGAAGGTTGACTAGAAAAGAGGAAATTGTCATGTGAGGAATAATTGAAAAACTGGGAATGTTAAAATTTTTAGAAGACTTGATAACACTTTTAAAATACTAAAGGGTTGTTTTGGAAAGAGTAAACTTATTCCTATAAATCCAGTTAGGAATACTTAGTAAAAGGCTGTAAGTGATCTGGTTTCAAACCAGTATTTTAAAAAGGATCTTATTAACAGTGAGAGCTGGAGAAGTGGAATGGGCAGCTTCAAGAGAGGAAGCATTTCCTTTCTACTGCTGAAAATTTTTCAGAGATCCAGGGTAAAACTGGTTTTTAAATTAGGTGGATGTATGCACTTTGAGTCTTCTTCCATCTTGAGAATTTTTGGAAGTGGGACTTATATTGGGTCAAGCTGTATTAAAAACAGTATGACTAACAGGTGCTAGATACTTATTACTAGAAAATAAGACTATATTATGTGTATGCAATAAAAATATCTTAAGCTTGTATGTGTTTTGTCACTAGAAGGTATGCTCCATGAGAATTAGGACTTTGTTTTGTCCTCTGTTGTTGTTTCTGGGACCTAGAACAATGCCTGGAACTTAGTTGGTGCTAGGTGTTCTGGGGGAACCTGTGACAGACCACCACCAGAGTTTGTGTTTGAATTTTGGAGCCTTTATTAGCTGGCCAGCGGCTACAGTTGCAGCGTCTCACCCATGTAAGAGCCGAACTGTAGCCCTGACCCTCAGTTCTTCTCTCACTTTATGCTCAGTAACCACAAAGGCACTGCAGTAAAGGGGTTTCCAATAATTTTTCAGGCTGTCAGCTTTTGGTACAGGAAACAAGGGAGGACCTTTAGCAACACAAAAGGGACGATTTAAACACAATGAGTAATGGGGTTATGCGTGGCCCTGAGTGTGACTGGTTTGTTCTTTCTATGGGAACTTGGGGGTGGGGGGGGGGTAATTATTGGGCTAGCTTGTCAGGCCTTGTCCTGTACAGTAGGGATCTTGTTCTACCTTTACTGTTAGTTCCTTAGGTATATTCTTCTGGCCATGGTGGCCAGAACACTAGGTACACATTTGTTGAATAAATGAATGAGTGAATTCATGTGTTTCTGAAAAAACAAAAAACAAAGTATAAATAATTAAAAAACAAGTATTAGCAATTGTTTCTTTTTTTTTAAATTTTGATTTTAGAGAGAGGAAAGGAGAGCGAGCGAGAGAGAGAAACATTGATTTGTTGTTCCACTTATTTATGCATTCATTGGTTGATTCTTGTATGTGCCCTGACGGGATTGAAACCATAACCTTGGCATATCAGGACGACGCTCTAAACAGCTGAGCTACCCGGCCAGGGTAAGTATTTGTTTTTTATTTTTAATTTAGCAGGTAACAAAGGATTGAGAAAAGTTAAAATTAGCAGGTAGAATTTTCTTAACTTTTATTTCCTTTTTTGGAAATTGATGCAGTTTGACAAAAATGTATACTTGAGAGTTGTTGAATAGTTAAGAACTCTTGTGTTAGTTTACAAAGTCCTCATTGGGTATTTGGCATTTGCTACCTTCCTATCAGGTCTTTTACTAAAGCCCTGTTCCTCTTCAAGCTCTAGTTACCCGCACTTGACTTCACACTTACTTAGTAGGTATACTCATTTATGCATTCAACAAATACTTATTGAGCTCATGATAGGCAGGAGAAAGAGATCCAGAGCTCTATTCCTTTTAAGCACTATTGAATTGTTTGCTGATAATCATTGAATTTGCTGATAAGAGTTTATAGTTAGAGGCCTTTACAGAATATTTCCCTTTAATGAGAGACACCTAAAGACAGAGGATGATTTACAACTTAAATGCAGCTGGGGTTGCCTGTTTACCATAGAGGAGCTTGACCAATTTTCTTAAATCCTTCAGTGTCTATTCTACCTACTAAATAGAGTGGGATAGTATTATAGAGGGCCTTGAGAACCTGGACTTGATTCTCTGGGAGGTTTAGAGTCAGGGAATGATGCAGTAAAGGCCGATGTTTGTATGTTACCTATGTGTGTTTTCTTTCTATCTGGAGGCCTAGCATCTCCAGAGTAGGGATCCTTGTCCTCTTCTTCCCTGTGTTCTTTACATACTCATCAATGCATGTCGAATGTGGTGAGCATCTTAAATTATATTTTTGCAGGTTTAATTCAGGAATACTGTGCCTATCACTCAACATAGTTTCAACTTGCCAGCTAAATGACTTTTGTGCCAGTGATACCGGAGTCCTACACCCATGTTCTTGCAGAGTTTGAGTCTCTGGATCCATTACTTTCAGCCCTAAGGCTGGACTCTAGTCGTCTAAAGGTGAATTTCTTGATATGAATGAGCCACATTCATATTCATATATTTGTGTGCTCTCTGTTACATGTGCCCCCTGACCTCTAGTTCTTTATGTTTTATGAAAATGTATCACCTGTGCTAGTACTGAGTGCTACTTTCTATGTAGCATGTTTATAGCTCTTTCTTGATTTATTTTTTGAGCTATTGTTTGAACTCTTTCCTAGCCTTGGAAACCATGATATTGATTGCTGAATCCCCCC